CTTCAGCTGGGTTAGGCGCTCTCCAGCCCGCGCCATATTTGCGAGAGTAATGACTGATGAATTTGTGAGTGTACGTCAGCCAATTTTGCAAATGACCGCCACCACAAAGGGCGTAAGCATGTGCACGAGTGCAAAGAATTTGAAAAATGCGATGGGGCGACCCCCCCATGTCCAAGTCCCATTCTTCACCACACAGACCTGCTGCCTCAGCCAAGACCTCCGTCAGATCCCTCTTTTTTGTGCCTGCTTTGCGGCTTTGGACATCCCAAAGCGCAGCTTCGGAAAGGATCCGGCGCCATGCGACCCAAGCCCAAGATTTCTGTTGACATTGGCTCTGGATAGTCTGCAGATAGGGCAAACAAGGGGTTGTCTCGGGAGTGAGCGCGGCTCCTGGGTAGTTGCTTTCAAACACTTTCAGCAAGGCTTCGCGATCCGCAGCACCAAATTTGGCTGGTAGACTCAAGGAGCCCAACAATGGCAAATGCTTGGCACTGGCAGGAGCCGGCAATTCTTCACCCGAACTCTTCTTCCAAAACGCGCGGAGGTCTCCACATGTGGGCGATGTCAACCATTCCGCATCGTCCAGGTCTTTGAACGAAACCAACTTCAGTTTGAAACGTGTAAGCCAATCTTCGAAGACGTTCGAGTCGACAAAGGCATGCGCAAATGAGGCTTTGCGTTTGAAACCCATTTTCAATATAGCCTCAATCACTTCCTCACATAAGCCCTCTTCTCCCATGGCTTTGCTCCACTCGCAAGCCATCACCGGCAAAGCAAAAACAAGTCAAGCTGTATATCAACTAAGCGCAGCAATAGCAACTTCTAGCTTTCTCAAGCGTAGAGATTTGTATGCAAACAAATGTTGACGCGAGCGCGCCGCACCGGCTACCGCAGCCAAAGGGTAAGGGTAACCCACTTAAAAAACAACCAGGCAAGGTTCACAGACCAAAGGCATGATAGAAACAAGGCGCACAGGCCCCTACCTGGAGTACCACACTCCAACAAGAGCACACAGCTCTGTTCGCAAACAAAAATTGCAAAGCCAGGAGCACCGCGCTCCAAGGAGCACACGGCCCCGTCACTCCAACAAGAGCACACAGCTCTGTTTGCAAACAAATTTGCAAAATAAGGAGCACCGCGCTCCCAGGAGCTCACGGCCCCTACCTGGAGTACCACACTCCAACCAGAGCAACCAGCTCTGTTTTCAAGGAGCACCGCGCTCCGACCAGAGCACACGGCTCTTCCCAACGCAGAGACGCTTGGGTCTCCAAATTGCCTTTTACATCAGAACCATGAGTACCAGTTCACAACCCAGCAGCACACGCCGCGTGAGAGCAAGGCAGAAAAATTTCTTGGCTTTCTGCGGGATTGGTATGCCAAACTTCCCATCGTGGAGGGCGCAATCGCTGCCGTGGGGCGCAGGCTCGCCCAAACTCATCCAGGCCAAGATTCACAGCTGCGTGGAAGTAGGAAGTAGCTATATTGACCACGAAAACACCGCTGGCCATGGTCAAGGCGGGTGGTTCAGCAGCCGCCGGAGCATCTACGTCCTCCAGATCAGATGCACAAAACTCTGAGGAGGAAGACGAGCTACAAGACGATGTATCTGTCTCGGTTCCAGAATCATTTGCATCAAGACCAGGTCCTGCTGCAGCCAAACCAAGGGGCGTCCACACTAATCGATGGAGGGGCCCAGAAAGAGCCGATTCCGGCACAGGCGGCAATGAACCGCGCGCTTGCGGCGTGAGGGGAACCCACCCGCCACGAACGGAGTCTAGTACCTTCAATTGAGCTCTCAAGGCTGGGAGGACATCGTCCCGGCTGTACTTGGTTGTCATCTTTGACCCGCTGTCGCCTCCACGATGGTGACCCCACAAGCGACGCTGAACATGGTCCACGTCAAGTTGAAGGGCCCAGGTTAAGCCTGTCGTTTTCAAGCTGTGCAGGGTATAGTTCCGCGCTTGCGCGGTCGAGAGGCCACCAACAGCTACCAGCAACTTGCGAAATTGCCCTAATGCATAAGCGAAGCTGGCACGGGCACCACTAGGCCCAGGAATCAAAAAATCACCATGTCCAAGATGGTCACATAGATGAGACACACCCTTGTCCCAACAATCATGGATCCCCAGAGTAAGCACTCCGAAGGGCATGCCATCCTTGGAAGTTTTGGTGCGATAACACCAGCCTCGCAAAATGCCACGCTCAATTTGACAAGAACCTAAAGCAAGTCTTTGAGCATCACTAAATCTCAACGCGCCCCAAATCATGAGCAGAAAGGCAACTAAAGCCAAAGTATCTTTGGTCACCGCGGAGTCCAGATCTTTATGGATTTTTGTTTCAAATGCAGAGACCACAGAAAGTGGAAGAGGCAGCGCCTCTTTACGTGGACTCAAACTCGCTTGCGACTCGCACCAGGCCACCACTACCGAATGCCCCAAGGTCGTCAACCAAGCGCCCCAACCCATCAACGCAGCCACAAATTTCAATGAAGCAATACCATTTTTTGCACCACGTGCAGTTTTACCATTGTACAGCAGAGCTTGTACGTATCCCACAAAGTCCATCAATGGTGGATTGTAAGCAGGCCACTCGTGATGGCAGGCAAAGTCAATCCACAAACGCCAACTTGGCAAGTGGCGACGCAGGGTGGAAGCCGCTTTCTTTGATAGCATACGCATCAAGCTAGGCTGCGCCAAGCCACCCAAATCCACAAAATTTGGCGCGTGTGGCAAGAATTCTTCAAGCAGTCCAGCCCACAAGCGTACCCACTTTTGCGATTCAATCTCATCTGAACGCGCAGCACTTGCACAACTGTCGCGAACATGCAGCGTCATAGCCCAACGTGATGCGCCAACGTATTCAATGGCTGGGGCTGCAGCAATCTCTGACGGAGCGAGCGCAGGACTGCGGGAGAACCCCCGCTGCCGCTTGGGACAAGGCAGTCCCGGCCGCAAGCTGCTCACGTCACGAGAAGCTGCACGCACCGGGCGCGAAGGCCGCGGTAGCGGCATCCCAGGTCAGCAAACCAAAAAAGAATTTCTGAACCCAACGGAAAAAAAAGCGAAAATGCCAAACCAGGCACAAAACACTCAGGGCTTCTTGACACTTGACCCATCAAGCACACCAAGTCAACAACAGGGTCGACAGCCAGGGTGAATTAGAGAGAGTGGTATTCTTACGTGCAAGCCCATAAGAATCCTACACGTCAGTGATGCCTCCTGCAACAATGCCAGGGAGTCCACTATTGGACTCGAGGACGAAGTTTCAGAAGATTATTGGGAAGAGACTCATGCAACATGGGTTCGCCATCATCAACGACCAAGATACACATATTTTCACCCTGGTTTCTGCACTAACGGCCCAAGCCTCCATGATCTACAGAAGGTCCGAAGAACAGAACGCCTCGTTTCTGGATCTCAGGAGCCTTGCAGGACAGAAACGGATTCGTGGAATGACCCAAACAGTCTCCGCTCAGCAGAAGAGCCCTGGACAGGAAAAACAATTTTCAGAAGGTGACCAACAAGTCCGAGGCCATTCCAGCATCACAGATTCGAAGCACTGTGGAACAACAAGAGTGTTTGAGCAGTCAAGGTGATCAATTCATTGTATATTATGACAAAACATTGACTACATCTCAAGCTCCAACCTCCGTGACACTTGCTTCCTGGAAGAGCTACAGATTGAAGAGAAAGGTGGTCAGCACACTTGGTGCAGAGAGCCAAGCGCTAGTCAATGGAGTTGGATCCGTCAACTACCATCGACTTCTCCTGCTTGAAGTTTTGAGCGGATTTTTGACAGACCAACAGTGGGAAAACAAGCTGAGAGAACTACCTTTTATCTCAGTCACAGACAGCAAGTCCCTCTACGACTCCTTGAAAAAGGATCCTTGCCCCGCTTCACAGTTTAGCGACAAACGTGTCGCCATTGACATTTCTGTTTTGCGTGACGAGTTCAAGAATCAAGGAGGAATCATTCGATGGATAGATACTCGAGCGATGATAGCTGATTCCCTCACCAAGGAATGTGTTCCAGCCTATCTTCGCTACATAATGCAGAAAGGAGAGTGGGCACTTTTTGAAGAAGGAGTATCGCTCCAACGAAAGGCTTTGGAGCGACAAATCTGGTCCAAAAAGAAAGTTTTACCGGTGTGTGAATGAGATCATCGGTTGGACCAGAGTGTGTACCATCCGCCACAAACGTGGCTCAAGATTCATTCAGGGCAGTCGAAAATGAGCCGCCATGGACCGATCATTCGTTGAGCCCGCTATCACTCTTACAATATAGCTGTATTGCTTGCAACTTGTAAATGTCCTCAAATTTCGCCTTATCAATGGAGACGACACATAAGGACTGAACACATAAACACAACAAGGCGGGCAGATTACCCTTTAGCATTATCTAATGTTCAGGCGCTAAAATGCTATCTGCTTCACAATATGCCTTGCTAGCCCCAAAAAAGGTAGGTCTTGGGGGGTAGCATAATATATATTATATGGAACAATGGACTTTCTTGAGTTCCTAAATTTCAGCAAGAGGCATGGCTGAAACCCGAGTGGAATAAGACACCTTTCAGAGGGACACAGCACTTGGTTTCCACCTTGTGACAGTCACGCAGAAAGCAGCACACGGACACGTATTATTTTGCATGACCCCACGATCTGAAGTCCACACCAGATTTACAACCTGCCCAAATCTACACATGTTCCTAGAAAGGAGCTGCAAACTGTGACTCAGAAAGGTGACAACAAGAGCACCAAGGTGGCCTCCACTTCAAAAATGAGCAAAGGACCTTACGGAGCTTAAAGCATGCTTTTCTGAAAGGTAACCGGCAAAAATCCATCTGAAGCTTCTGAAGAGCAAACGTCTTATGCATCACTTTCCATGTGAACATATGTCTGTTCAACTGTAACCCTCAATGAACGACAATCATCGGCACAGCCCACTAGGTTTCTCGTAACAAACCATCAATCCTCCCTCTTCACATCACTTTGAAAAGCGTCGTTGTCTCCCTCGCTGGCCAACTTCTGGTAGGCTGGCAGCTCGTGCCACCACCTGGGCGTGTTGAACTACCGCACGAGGCCGATGAGGCCAAACCTACTGTGGGACCTGTTCAAGATCCGAAGAATGCAGGAGGTCAGGGCCATGAGGTGACACACTGCAGTCCCAAAGAAAACATCTTGGCATTACCTCTAGCCTCTAGTCCTGATGTAGTACCATACTGGTGGATAAGATTCGGGCAAATAGGTTACCAGTGCTTCCCAAGACTATAGAACCAAAACTCAATTCTTGCCTTCGCATGAGCCGGCTGGAAAACGAACCACTGAAAAGCACCGCTCCATCCTATTTTTGGCCCAGCTCCACCTCAAAGTCTCTCAACTGCTCTTGAAACCCGCTGTTCGGGTATACACATGCACGTTTCTCCTTCACCAGCTGCCAAGCCTCTTCGAAGGATACCTGGAAGGACACAAGCTCACAAGAGTCCGCCTCATCCCCTAAGTATCTCTTAAAGAAAAGAGCAGCTGGAAACTGCTGGCAGTTGTCACAAATGTCTAGGATGAAACATCAGAGCAAACCTCCTGTCGTACATTCTATCTAACTGGGTGGCCATGCAACCACAACATTCACAATGGGCATCCCAAAACGAAAATAATCATCCTATATATATATATATTAATTCCAATGCAAACATGTGATCCTGAAATACAGGTCACCTGCAGCGTTTTCATGACATAGGCGATCACCAAAGTGCTGCTACGGGAAATGCCAGAGATGCAGTGCACGAGTACGTTCCTTAGGCAGTGCTGACACTTTGACCATCCTCCATAAGCCAACCACAGTTTGCAAACTTAAACTTGTAAGCTTGGTTTTGCACTGAGCTTTTTGTGTTCAGCTGGAGAGCCGGGGTCTCCCCTACAATGTCTGACACAGTTTCGTTGACGAGCTCTTCTGGATGAAGTCCATGGCTGTCGCAAAGTGCGGCTTCAGTGCTTCCAGAGGGGAGTCATCAATGGAAATAGTCAAGTACCTGATCTCCAACAGCCCAATGCCATGCTGTATGCTATTGGTGGTACCAAATTTACACAGCAAACCACAACAAACGAAATCCAAAGTGGTTGGTGCAGGGAGTTCCTGGAGTGCAACACAAGTACATATAATTACCGTCCCTTCATGTTCCGAACCGTTTATCTTGCATTGGCCTCCGTCACACCCACAAAAACATATTGTGCTTATCTGTGCTGGGCGTGCTCCAAGTCCTCAGGAAAGTGTGCCTCGCAATACGCAGCCACGATGAGAACGCGATCCACCTTGTGCTCGCGGAGCCAGTCGAGGTCAATAGCACTGCTCTCACCACCTGGCCGTTGGGTGAACACTAAACTTATCAATTAAAAGATTTCAAAGTAAAAAGTCAGCGGAGATCCCTTTGTACGGAACCTTTGGTGTTTGCCATCCCATGAATCCGAATCAATGGGCTTTGCATCAACTTCCGACCTAGGTAGATGTTGTCCACGATGTGATCGGGAGCTTCAAAGACGGCAGCTTTTCGCACAGTGCTTTTCTCTTCCTCGTATTGCATCTCGAAGCCTCTGTGAGGGCGAGTCAAAAACAATGGGGCGTGACGCCCCGACAAATAACAGAGCACTCTCTACGGGTGGTCTCTCTGATAAAACCTCGCAAATGTGTCCCACCAGTCGGATTGAGCTACTGCTCCAATCAATGTAGTGGAGCATCTCACCAAGACTAGCATGCAGAACCCTGCTCCGCCACAAAAAAGGGCAACCAACTAGACAGCAACTGAGAGGTAGTAAACAGCATGAAACAGCATGTACAGGCAAAGGCTGTTGAGTCACAAACCATGCAAAACGAGCCGTTGAGTCACAGGAAACATCTCTCGCATACGGAGAAGTCCTTCTTCACTGACACACAGGCCGCACCACAGAGCAAGCACTCTGACTCAACGCCAGTGATCGAGGCCATAGAGCGCAGTGGATGCAGAAAAAACGCGGTGATGGTTTTCTTCCACAGGTCTTTTGCAAAGGAACTGGTGTTTTGCTGGCGTCTCAAAATATTCTTGCAGCTCGTCAAAAATGTAATCCATGGTAGCCGTGTAATTAGAATGCTCCAATTAGTTTGGTCTTTGCTTGGAATTCCTTTTCAGAGCTCTTATAGCTTCGGCGTCAGTTCTTAAGGTTTGACCTGTCTTGAAGGCCCGAGAGAGTGTCTTTGCTTCTACCATCTTGTTGTGCAGCTTTGAGTAAAACAGCACGGTGCCGGAATGGCGGATAGCACGCAGAATCTGGTCTGCTACTTCTTGGTCCTGGTTTGGAAGTGCAAAGGTGTATATATATATATGCCTGTGTATGTGTATGTATATGTGTATATATATATATATATGCGAGCTGCATTCTTTGAATTCAGGCGATCCAATACTGACATTGACAAATATATATATATAGTACACATTTACATAGTGAATCTGAAGAAATACACTTCCTTCGAGTTGAATCCTCACAAGCCTCATTCCCCTCAGCAAAGGGGAGGATCAACGTGGAATCTGTTCAGTCTGAGCGGCTGAAGATCACCCGTCTCCGCATCAAATGCCAAAATCCTCAGAGCTGAGTGAGGTGAACGAGCGGCCATCCGGGGCCTGGGGAAGAATGACACGAAACTCGGTACCTTCTGTACGTATCCTTTGCTGACAGGACTCTTACTCCACCAGCTTCCCTCTAGACTCAACTCCGGTCGAGCGGCGCACGATTTTGTGGCCAAGCAAACCAGTGGGGGTAGCGCAACGTGAGTGCATAGATGGGATAGGTCCATGGCACCTCGAGCAGGGGTCAGGTCGCAACGACATCAAGGCATGTCGTCGCAACGTCTACATCAGGTGGGGGTGGTCGATGTAGAGCCTGGTTCTACCGGCCAAGCGCCTGTCAATTGTTTATGACAGTTGATGCAATGTCCTTCTTGGCATCAGGCCGTCTCCCCTATCAAAGCATGCCCACGGTTGCTGTTTGTTTAACTTGTTTTATTTGGTGAGTTGTGAAGCGTCAGACCTGGATGCCACACAGTTTTCCGACTTTATAGCACCGATGAGAAATGCCTACACCAATACTTTACCACTGTCTTCCAGAAATACAAGGAGAGATAGCAACAAATCTCTTCCAAGCAGTTGGTGGCCCAGAACAATATTAGGTGGTCGGTTCGCCCAAGTTGTAACTTGACTGGCAAATCCAGCCATGTTGCTTTACCCAGTTGCCAAACGCCGCAAGCACTGTATTTGCGGGAAGCGCGTGCATATTGTGATCCATACTGAGACAAGAGCTGGGCTCTTGATCTACAGCTGTCAACAGGTATGAACCAATTTGGGATTTGGATGAGTCATGTCGAAGGCTGTCACGTGAGCCGTCAATATTTTCCAAAATCGAACATGCATCAATGATTATTGATTTATTGGAACGTGGTTGAAAATACAGGAATAGAATTGGCAGTGCTTGCAAAAATTGGTGGCCTACAAAAAGTGAACCACGGCACGACGGTAAATTCACTGAGTATGATTCCAGTGCGAAATTCTTAGCAAGTTTAGGGAGGTGCCTGTTCCAAAGTACCGCTCACCCGAGTGTCGTAGCCGATTCCCTCGATGCTGAAAGAGATTGTTTGACGGTGTCGTGATCAGTTTGAAGTGTCCATTCCACCCCTCCCAATTCTCCAACTGTGCCCCGCGGCCATCCAAGAGGGCAAGATCTTGGCAACCAACATGAACCAAGGGATGCCCGGATTCCTGAGACGAAAAAAACCAAGGAACTAGAACGCTGCGACAGGTCTGAAAACTGGACTGTCACAGCTGCCGTGAATTGTTGGTATGAAAAGGCCACTCACCACAACTGTAAACCCGACCATTTTTTGTGTCTCTCTCGCGTAAAGCCCCTCTAGGAACGAACAATCGCCAGTAAACAGGGTGCATTCTACATTGGAACAAGAATTAGCAATGGGAGAAGCACTCGATAGCAAAGAAGCCAAATGAAAAAAACAAAGCAAAGAACAAATTAACCCAGCTGACAACCCCAATAGCAAAGCATCCACCAAGATCTGGCGCATATCGTCTTAGTGCGTTGTTCGCTGCGTTCTTTCACATGTCGAATATCGAGGACAATGTCTAAAGCCGCGTGATGAAGTGCAATCCAATAGTTTATACCCAAAGTTACACAAACAAGTTCAATATCCAAGCAACGTGCTTGTTCCATAGACCACGAAGCACTTGATGAATGTTCGCCGATGCCCGAATTGTATGTTCAAGTGTCTGCGAGTAGCTAGTCTAGTTTAATGCTTAAACGCGGCCATTGCGTGCATAGGTAAGGTTTTTGGACCGGAGTAATGCTGGGCTCATGAATTCCTGTCGCGCTTTGCCTTTAAAGTTGTGAGCGAATGCCAAGTCCAATGTTGTAGATCTGGTTGCTGCGTAGATCTGCTTACTTGTGTTCATCTCGAACAAAAGTGATCAGGGCAAGAACTGCATTCACGCCCACAGGAAAGCCCAAGCCCAGGCCGAACGGACGTGGTCTGGCGGGGCGTCTCCTGAGTAGGCAACGTGTCTGAAAAGCTGAAAGCCTGTCGAGACGCCACTGAAACATGACCACACACATGACGGAGATACCAGACCTAAACATGACCGAGACATACCGAGACACCACCCAAACATGGCTGAGACACCGGGACACCACCGCCCCAGGCCGGGGCCGTGGATCCGACGGCGCTCCACCGGCCAAAGAGTGTACAACCCAAGCTATCGCTATTGGGGAACACATGCAAAGCACCGGAATCAGGGTCTAATGTTGCTTTTGTAAAAATGACATGGACCATCATTAGAGCATGGAGCCATAGCCATCTCTGTATCGAGATGGGGGCACCATGTTATCCTTCCCTTCCCACTCTCCTGCTCTGCCAAGAGACTTTCCCATCCCCATCACCAATGAGAGGCCTTTCGCTCCAGGTAGCTGGCCAACCTAATGAAACACAGGGCTTGGAGGGAGCTTTGAACCCCGTCGCACCAGCGAACCCAACCACCCTTTGGACGTCCCTTTCAAAAGATGAACACACCGTCTTGTATACGAAAGGGAAAGAAAAAGAATCGATCCGTCATCCGCGAGATGAGAATTCTAAGCCCGACACCGCCACTGCTTGGTTACCCTCATAGGGCAGCTCTTGCCACCAAAGCTTCCTCCCCGTGACATAGTCATACCTCAGGTGAGCGGAGCTTCAAGCTAAACAGGAAACCGTGACCGGGCACGTGTTCTTCAGTCGTCGATGGTAACAAAGCAGGAGTTGGCTAATCTGCCATCACACATTTCATCTTTGAGCCGATCAGTGAAAAGCCCGCTGGTTGTCATTGTTCATACCCCAGATTAACCCATCACCACCCACACGGATGGGGGCACACCAAGGCCCTCTGCCCTGCAACAAGCTGTCTGGGTGCCCCCAGCGCATGCAAATGGCCTCCCACGGGCTTAATAAAACAAGCTCTGCTGAGACTCCCAAATGTGTTCCTCCCCGCAAGCGTTGCACATCCCCACAAAGCCGGCCAACATCTCGACCCAAATCCATCTACTCACTGCTGCAGAAGCCCGTCCGCGCCTTTGCCTTCTGACATGCCTTCCTTCATGCCGCCACCAACGTTGCAAACCTCAAGTTCATTGAAAAGTGTCGTGGCAAGGTTGGGTGAGCTGGGAATACAAACCGCGGGCGCCTGCGGGCCAGGAAATCTCTGACCTTTCCACACTTATGCGCAGGGTTCTCCCATGTTCTCCCCATCCTCATTAAACGAACACTTACTGCTTCCTTATCCAACCGCTTTGCTCGTTCAATAGAGAAGACCCAACACTATGCTGTTGACTCTGCAACACCCACCCCAGCTTCATCCCAAGCATCTGCATAAACTTTGCCCTCGGAGATCACGGCGGCTGCTGTGCTGGCGCTCTTTGGATCAATCCTGGATTCACGCTGGGCAAAGTCTGCACGCCGGGTAAATTGGGAACGTGATTGCATAACATCCACTGATGTATCATGTATCAGTCATCCGGGTGCAATATTGGGGCTGTTAGTGTAAGGGGAGAAACATATTGATCATATTGCCCTTTTGCAGAAACGGCCCAGGGCCCCGGACGCGCCGCCATACCAAACCAGCTTTCCCTCGAGGGTGACCCGATACACTGCGCCGGTGACGTCTTGAAAGACGAAGCTTCCATCATGTTGCCTCAACTGGAGAGCACGCAAACGCTCTCCAGTGGGTGCACTCTGAGAGAACCAAGAGTTCTTGTGATTGCCGGAGGCTAGGCCGCTAGGCCTGTTCATTCTGCTCCAAACATTCGCATTTCTAGGGAAGAGCAACGTTTAGAGGAAGTTCTGTATATGAAAACAACGTAACAAGACCAAAATAGCACCTCTCACTAGGAGCAGGGTTGAACTCTTCCGTGAATCCTTCTAGGGTGGAGGATTTTTGGTCATGGTCACAAATCTTTACATGGAATCACAATACAACATGCCCTCATTCCCTGATCATGTTCCCGATATATACCATTCAATCCCTGATGGTCCTAAAGCCTTTAGCTATGTAAACATGTGTGTAAGTGTGTAGGCTTTTGGAAACCTGATGACCGACCCGCTAGAAAAAGAAGACTCACTGGGCTTGAGTAGGTGGTGTCAGTTGTGTGACAGCCGCACCAACAGCCCAATCAAACGTAGAAGTCTTCGGTTTTAATCTGTTGAAGGCACGTGGAAGCCTGGAAGTTGTAGACGGTCCTTGGTGTCCAGCGCCGAGGTTCACTTGTATTTCACTCCCAAGATGCCACAAACCATCACAAAATCCATGCTTTAGCACAAAGAATCAAAGACTTTAACACTCTTTCAATCACTTTCCTTGACGCCTTTCACCTCAGTTCTCGCGGACTCGCTTCAATTCTCTTCACAGTATTTGTTGTGCTTGAGCTGAGCAACGTGTAGGGCGCAAATTTGAAAACCACCGATCCATCTGACCTCGTACAGGGCAAAGGGAAAGCAGTTGAACAGCAAGTGGCAAGTTGAATTGGACCAACTCAATAGATTCCACAGCTATTCTGGCCATGTTTATCTATATACTTTCAGTTGAGAGGCTGAGAGGAAGGCTCATGTGGCTCAGGTGATTCCGAAGAGTCAATCATAGTTAATATATAAGCGCCATAAACTGAAAACACAAAATAAATCCTTCATTTGTTGCCAAACAACATATTCCATCACCTTAGAGGAGTTCAGGAGTCTTAACCACATATATACTGATGTCTGGTTTGATCCATGTTCATCCCGGTGACCTCCCGTCAACTTCCATTCGCCCCTCCCCTCTCGGTCTCCGCACACACTCAGGCCCAAGACCCGGTTGTTCTCGTGCTGAGTTGGCGCAGGGGCGTCTATCCAGCAGGACATCTTACCAATCTCTCATTTTGTAGGCAAGGGTCGTGCCGTTCTTCCTCTGCTTTATTCTTTGCATCTTATTGGTATGTCCAGCCGCATGAGTGCGCAGGCGCCAAGAAAGCAAATTCTTGCAAGGTAGCCTGCGAAATCAAGCAGGTAGTTTTAAACCCATGACAGAATTTTAGTAATCCTCAAAAAGCTTTGCCTAATGGGAGGTTTTGCATGTCCAAAAGGGATGTCTGAGAGACAAAAAAAGAGTTAACCAATGTCAACTTCAGGCAATGAAGCAAAAGCACCATTGCTCCCAGTTGGTCGCAGCAGTCTGACCCAACTGTGAAAATAGGATGTCAGGTATTCAGGGATCTTGATTGTTGCTGTGTTCTGTCTTGATAAAGTCCAGTGCAAATACAGTACCCCGGACGAATCAATCGAATTCAACAGAGATTGGCCACCCTGTGCAGTTGATTGAAAAGCTGGCATGGCAAGACCGCGTCACAACTGGGGATGTTTTCTTGGACCGAACCAGCTCCATTGAATGATCGCATGCGCATTGCGTTGTCATTGTATGGTGCAGCGGTGCTGGAAGCAGAACAAACCAATATACACATACAAAAAACGTATAATAGAATATTTATGCTGCTATATAGAAAATAACATCACAATATCATGAAATCTCTCCACTTTCGCCAGTTTCGCCAGGGCACATTCCAGCGCTGTGTGCGGCCAGCAGCCAAGGTGCTCACCACCTGGCAACTGTGGCCAAACGTATGCGCCAATGGAGTCATTGGATGTTTCGCTTGTTTGCCTTTTGATGTGAAGCTGGACTCATTGTGATACATCTTACAACTTTCTGCAAAATTTCAGGATGAAGGAAAAGGAAGGAATCACAACCTGAAAGCAAGCTGTAAGCAACAATTTCAACAAAACATGAAACCTTTTGAATTCTGCAAACTTTTTTCAAAAAACTCTTTCCCTCCGGAACCCTCCCCCAAACTCCCCATCCGGCCGGATCCATCGCGGAGAGGACAACCACCCCCTGGGTCGCCAGCAAGCAATCCGTGGTGCTATCTGACATCTGTGTTACCTGCATCACGTTCCGCGCCATTCGGAGAGAGACCAATGCGGACATGCAAAAGTGGCTGAACACGAATCCACCTACCACCCAGGTCTACCAAATCCTCGACTCCCACCAGGCGGTTCTGTAAGTTGGTGAACTGGCAGTCATAGAATAACAAAAACAAAAGGGGTCAGGGTCAGTTGCCCAACCCTGAGTGAGCAGAAATTGCTGTTTGTTTCGGCAATGTTTTTCAGTTGTCACCTGAACACTGTTGATACACAGGCTGCACCACTTCATCCCGTCGTGAGCGGGGAAAAAGGCCAGTCTCCGTGGTTGAACCATCTCAGAAATGAAGCAAACAAGGGAGCCAAGATGAGCTAAAAGAATCAGCCGAGATCTTTATAAACTGTCAGCTGGACATCCCACATCACCTGATTTTGAAGACATGTGGAGGCTCTGTATTGTCCATCAGGTCGAACGTTCAAGGACACTGGATTGGGAATCTCTGTCAAGCTTCAATTGGGTATCGCGGGCCATTTCCAAATGACCAAAATTGGTACCCCATCTCAGGTGGTGTACATCCAACAGCCTGTCTTGTCCCTGTCATCACTGCTGCCGTCACAGCCTTTCTGGACCAAACTTCAGCTCCTGAAGAATGGGGTAGAAACGATAGAGGATGGCACGAGGTGACTACAATTTCAACCTATCATGCGCTGTATGCAAAGGGTGGGATGTGCGGGATGTTCTGTCTGCATGTGTTTCATCCGGTCAGGTTTGTGCCCAACTGCCGGCTGGTACCCCTAGTGTCCTTCGCTACTAGGGCCAGGGCATTCGAGCAACAGGTCATCAAAAGGTCCAAAGCATTTGATCTATTGCATTTCACAAATGCAAAGCATTGGATCTTTTGGTATGCTTTGTGGGTCAGGTTGGAATGAGTGAGACTCCAAATGTAAAAGTGCAAGAAGGAATGCGTCCGCAAGCAGCCCAAACAAACGGACAACTTATAGACCTGACCGAAGTGAACATTCTGGAAAACACATCTTGATCTTTACGGCACAGAACCACAAAAAGCAATTCCATATAACTACCAGCCATCTTGGATAATGACTGACATGGAAAAGGCAGGAAAAGGCACTAGCTTCCAGATTCTAGAGGACATCAGTCTTGCAGAATGCAGTGCCTCCGTGAAATCTACATATACTAGAGGAGCCCTGCTCCCGCTCCTGTCTCCAGGTCTATGGAGATCAAAAAACCAAAGGTCGACAACATCAGCAAGCGGTCCTCAGTGTCTCAGCACTGTGATGCTTGGCACCAGTTCTTTGTGTTCGCTGTTCGTGTGCCCTGAAGAAGAGACGTGCCGACCATCATGAGCCCTCAAAACATCTCAAGACCTAAGACTATAACTACTGTATACCTGTGTATGTTATATATGCGTACGCACATGGCTCATATAATATGTGCACATCTACGGAGCACCGTCCCAAAACCTGGATCGCGTGTCTGACCGTGTTTGACCTACATACGAGATGTCCTGCTAACTGGTTGCCACCTAAGCCAAATCCAGCAGCCCTCCCGACTTCCAACCCTCCCAGGCCAAGCTTCGCCCTCAATGACTGGGACTCCTGCAAGCAGCTTTGCCATGCTTTGCCCATCTCGCATCAGGAATCTTACAAAGAAAACTTATATAGCTAAGAAGAATCCCTTGACTACATCAGAGAATCCACGGGCCATGTTTGGGATGTCGTTGGAATGATTAGTGGCCTGCTCTTGACTTCTTTGCGAGCCTTGTCTGGCAATTTGGGAGTTTCGGGGCAACTGTGGTGCTGGTGCATCGTATGAACTGGCAAGTAGATGTAACCAGGGTGCCTGACCATTTGCTGTAGGACTCTTGGGTCTATGCTTTCCGGCCAGCACAGATTCGGAAACCCGTCTCCTGGTACTCCTCCTCGCTCGACACCAGTGTAGTGGCTCCAAAGCTTCTTTCCATCCTTGCTTGGGTCACATTCTGGTGTGGGATCTCAGGGAAAACTCGTAAGAGCAAATCGGTTTCACACGTGGTTTGAGGGAGAACCACTGTGCATCCAACACTGCAAACTGCATCACCGGGACCGACGCTGCATGAGATGGAAAGACTTTGGCTTTGGATGTTTGGAAAGGAACACTACTCCCCCAAACGGATGCCCAATCGCGGAGGGGTCGTTGAACAACCACGTGTTGGCACGTCTGTGTGGTTCAGGCATCTCCTGAAAAGACACCTACTTCTTTTCGTCGACATGGGCTGCTGGAGAGTTGAAGAAAGACAAGGAAACCCATGCCCTTTCACTCTAGATGAAAACCCAAGCCATGACAAACAAGACACACGAAAAGACAAAACCTTTGCCATCTTCACATCTGAACGGCTGGGCTAAACTTCACGCTTCGCCCAGCAATGGAGGTGACCTCAGACAGGACGGAAGAAAAAGGTGTCTTGGAGAACGGAGCGAGTCTAGAGTGTACATCCAACTGCCTTGGTGATTTGGAAGCTTTGGGCGTTCTGAAGAAACCCAAGAAAGACATCTGGCAGTTTGTTGGCTCGTATGGTGATCTATTCGTGATGAAGGAGCAAGGACATCATCCATCAAACTTTTATCACAGTTTTTTGGGGCGCAAATAACATATCACATATATCATCATATATCTATATTATTCCACTGTAGCCGTTGCCAGCCGGGACCTACGCAAGGCGACAATAATCCTCAATTAAAAATGAACAACATGTATGGCTCTTTTGTAAAAGGGAACATCTCCTGGCGTGGGAGTGCACATTTCTATTTGAAGGCTTTATTTAGCCTGTTGCAGGACTGGCGTCATTACAAGCAGTGATTTGCTTAGGATGTTCCTCACTGAGCAAAACACGTGTGCCTTCGATTTTGGATCTCCAAGAGCAGGATACTGGCTTGAATAGGATCAGTGGCTCCATGGTCCTCAGGCTCCTTCCATGACCACACTGCACCACATACACTCACGCCGACTAGGTGCTCTAAGGTCGTTACCTTTCGAAGCCTGGTCCTTTGGTCCCAGTTGTCGAACTCACCTGGTCCTTGGACCAACACACCGTCCTCCTCGCTTCACTTCGCTTCAAGCAGCGTAGACATTCAGCTGGTCGTCGATCAATGGAGTGGCACGATGGATATCCAAGATTTCTGCCTTGCATAATGAACAATTGATTCGGTGTGAGGGGAGTTCAGTGCAAAAATGAAATGAGGGCCTCTAGCAGTAGCAAGTCGAACGGCAACGGAAGCATTGAAGATCACGGTTTCTCACTTCAGAATTCAACATGAATTAAATGTCAATGACACATCACCATCAATGGGTCAGTCAGCCCCTCAGTCAGTTTGGCAGGTTGAAGCCTTCCCATCCACAGGGACAAAAACAAACAATGCAATTTTTGACAACCATGAATGTTCTGTTGCATGGCGACTTCTTTGGGTAGCCACTGCGACCGTGCGGAGTTGACAAATGGGATGTGTGAGATTTCCAAAGCATCTGTCTGTCTCGCCTGCCAGGTCCAAGCTTCAGACTTCGAGATGTTTGGCATCACCTCAGCTGCTCCACAGCACGGGGACGGCTCGATAAAGCTAACCATGGTGTTCCCAGCTTTAAACAATCAGTCGCACATGCAGAGTATTCTGCATCATCCCACAGTTCATTTATATGCAGATCACAACCTCTAAAAAGTCAAACTCTTTAAAGTATTTCATTTTAGTTCTTTTCGTCCTGGTGTCTCAGGATTTCTTCCGACAGTGATCACTCGGTTTGTCCAGCGGCATGGGGCGAGTACCCAGTACGCTCAGGTGTCCCTTTCCTCAGTCGTGCTCGGTGGGTTTGGCTCCAAAAGCTAAACACTCTCAACCTATAAATGTCAAATGACACACACACACACACTTCCAGACACTTGTCATTTCAAGCTCTAGCCAGCTGCTAGCCCTTAAGTAAGCTTAAGGAGCGCAGCTTGCACCTTCGGGAGAAACTTTACAGGTCAACTGAACAAGCTGCACTTGTGGACTAGGCTAATGGCTCCGGCTCTCGTGTCCCCCTTCAAAGAGCCTTCTCAAAGGCAAAACAAACACTCCATCTGCCAGGCGGCTGCATCGGCCAATGATGCCACCGTGCCCCTGATGCCATGGTTGGCGTCGTGGGCATGCAGCCGCCTGCTGCGCAGGTCCCATCGCCCTCCAGCTCGGCAGCCTGAGCTCATGGAAGGTGAGACAACCCAATATGGAAACTGACAAAGCGTATGGAGCTGATTGGATTTCAACTTATCAAACATCTACGGAGGTATCTACTTGGATTCGGACATGTCAGGGGCCGGAAAGGCCGTGGTTCTGAACGCCACAAAACTCATCAACCCCTCTCTTGCCGCACCCGGACCACAGAATAGCGCAAAAAATATACAGGCACTCAAACAGTGTCCGGGCCTCATGATCCTCAACTTGTCATTGAACATTTGCTAAAATGAGGTCTCATGTTCCGGCTGCTATCAAAATGGCCACACTCTAGCATTCCCCCTTACCAATGAATGCATACGTCACAATCAACTCAAACAAACAGCAGCTGCGAGACTGCAAAACGTTCAAATCAAGGCCGGTTCAACTTGGGCCTTTGACTCAGGGGACACCTTTGGAGCAAAGCCCATAGGCACAGGACTGCAGCCAAGCTACTCCGACCCAAAGCAGCGCCACCAATACGACGTGCCACATGGGATGTGTGCGCCACATGGCGGCAGGTTCAAAACCTTGTGCCTGAGGTGAACACTCCATGTTGCGAATAGTCTACATGAGTCCACGTCATGTTGACTTATATCCGTGACTTTAGAAAGTGCTCTGTCGTGGTCAATGGCGGTCATGTTGGATTGGGTCTGCCTGACGGACAGTCATCTTCTTGCGCAATATGACCGCCTGGACCCTTGGGATTTCCGGTAGATGGGCTTCTTGCAGAGTCACTGACGGTCCCCAGAGAAATGGTTTTTCATGGTTTTTCTATTTGCCCAGCTGAATCTGAAATTATTGCACACACACAGCTCCTCTGTTGTGAGAAGTGATTGAGAGGGAAGTTTTCGTTCAAAATCTTCATGCTCTGTTAGCTCCAGAACTTCAAAACCTGCGATCCAATGACGGTGTCCAAAGGATACACTCTGGATGGTGGACATAGGAAGTACAGCTGATACAGTATCCATGTGCAGAGGAGGCAACACATCCAAGTACTGGGACAAGCTCCACTGTGGTTGTGTTCAAGTCTGTTTGAATCACATACAGTAATTATTTTGGCATTGTTGGACTGTGTTTGTCCTGAGCTGTCAGCTGTCTTCCATCTTCCAAACAAATTCCATGTGCTGCAACAACCCTGCGCAAGAGGATATGAAAGCATGGGTCTACCCATTTGCTCACTGGATGCAACCACCGTGTCTTTTCCTCACGACAGCAGAGGTCGTCCGCCCGCTCTTCGGGCGCTTTGGAGGGTGTGATGAAGGATCAAGTCCACGGGCAGGCAGTCACCCCCCCCGGAATATCTCGGGATCCATCCTGAAATCCCAGAAGGGGAGCAAGGTGGTTTTGGTTTCTATGTGAGGCTCTTGGGGTGAACATGGGTATGAACATGGGCATTGCGGGCTGACCTGGTCTGTCATGCCCGTGTTTTTAGCGGGCTCTGTGTCTGCCCGAGGGCAAGAAATTCGGTCAGTCTTGCCACAAGGAGGTTTTGAGGATCTGGAACGGCCACCCATTTTGAAGCTAGACAACGATGAAACTCCTGGACTTTCTTGGGACAAGGATGTTCTTGAGTCGTGCTCCAGCCCCGTTGGGCATTGACCCTCCTTTGGAATTAACTACCCCATCTCGTTGCTTCGAGGTGGACAGAGATCTTCTTGAGATGGGCCAGCGGTCGGAAAATCAAACTCCTTCTACCCGGGGGTTGTTGATCATGGCAGCATGACATCACTTCTCCGACCGGCCTGGCCACCTTGGGTGCTCGACCTACGTCCCTTGCGGCTCCGGACACACCGGGCCCCAGAAAGAAAGGTGAGCAGCACATGACGGCGACACCGACGTCGACCATGAAGATTGGACTATCAAGGCTGGGTTCCAGGAATGTCTTAAGATCTTAAAGCTGGAATGGACTCTTGAGATGGAATGAATTCAGAAAGCACGAGAATGCATCAAGCCAATGAAGTGAATGAGTGAAGAACACATACCTTTCATCGGGATCCTTACTCCAGCTTTGAAGAATCTTATTCATTCAGGCTACGATTCCCTGGCATCTTCCCAGCATCCACTTTCCAAAGGACCAAACATCCACAAGGAGAGGAAATGTGTCTAAAACAACCAGGGGATATGTTTGGGACATGTTGCAACGGCAGTGGGTTGTATGAGCTCGTGTCATTTCACCCCGATCCTCCTGGGCAACCCAAGCCGAGGCCTTGAACTTGATAGCCTATATCATGTCTTACAATAAATGGTTTGGGCCCGACACTACCCCTCAGTTCGCCCCATCCAGGAATCGAGTCGCCATTGATATTGGGATCGCCTAGCTCTTGGTTCAAGGTAAAGTTGCCTTTTCTGCGGTTGTCTTCGCTGGTTTTGAGAACAAGTTCTAAGAACTAGAAGTTCCCTGCTGAATGTTCTAAAGAAGTGGAGGGATTACTCTTCGAGGTCGACAAATCTCAGCATGTGTACAGTAAGCTCTTCTCATCACCTTGCCTCAGCTTCAGCATTGGTGTCAATGGATGCATCCTGATCACGGTTGCACTAAAACAAAGCTCCGTTTGGCGAAAAAAGAGGAGGAAGGGGTGAAGGGTTGGTGCATGCAAGGCTGCAAAAAGAAAGAATGCTTCAATTCAAATCACGTATCCCAAACAATTATATTATAGTCTATATTATATATGTATAATGTATTGCACGTATATATATATATATATATATGTGGTAGAGTACGTAAATCGGCTCAACAGTGAACACACCCTGTTAACTTCCAGGTTGTGCTACACGTATCAACAGGGAGTCTTATCTTCATGAGTGACATGTTTCAGCCTTTAGTTGTTCACTCTTGGGGTGCTAGGTGAAACGTGAACGTTCGTGGATGGTGGCGTCTTGGGCACGCATCCTCAGCGACTTGCCAACAAACAATTGTTACGCTCTGATGACAAAACCATCTCATGCTGGCAGTTGTCGAGCCGATACACCCTCTGTCATTCCCCGGGCTATGGCTATGATTCCAGCATTGGGGACTTCATGCCAAAACTCGAAGAAAACAACCACAAATGAATTGTGCATCTCCTTTGACCGTACGGGCATTTGCCGACTGTCCAGACTACAATCACAAACAACATCACCAGATTGCTCCTCTTACAAAACCTTCGGACGTTTCATCTGTTTTACATGTGCCACAAGAAAGCTCCTTCATTTTATCGACCGTATACCTCTGCTCCAACAATCACCGCACCTCGCACGCCGCCGCGTGCCAAAGGTGAACTTCGGCCCTTTCTGTGATGGTGCCTCTGCGTGGGTCCGTTGCGGACTGCCATTCGCTCCTCAATTTGTGCAAACCTTTTTGATCATGAAATTGTCAGGCTCGCTGAAATCTATTGTCCAGTGGAACAAACGGCAGGATGATCAAACCAATGCATCAAACCGTGGAGAAGGTGGTGAAGCACTCGCAAGTGCATTTTGGCAGCCAGGGCCCTTCTACCACTGATGCGAGGCCCACAGAGTCATCTGCAGTTTGTGTGTAATTATGGGGCAGTTCGATCTGGGCTGCATGCAGGTAGAGGAGAACTTCTGCATTAACATGCCCGAATTGTCGCCAAAACCAAGGTAGGTTTGGAACCATTCCCCACTTCTACTAGGACCGTACCGCTTATTCTCTCCACGTGATCTCCAAGCTCCCAGATCTCCCCACCATGTCTCGCCTGTTCGTAGTAGCCGGGCCCCGGAGATCTTTCTTTCACAGGCGCCCGCTGTGGGCTCCGCCCAAAGCTCCTGCAGCGTGGATGCGATCAGAAAAAAATAAACAGGATAGATATGTAGACTCGACACCGTCGGAGCAGCCATTGATCCGTTTGTTTCGATCAATCTTTTGCCGGAACAACAGTGAGGATAGTGAGGGGGGGTGTGATGTCCAATTGCCTGGTCCGAAGCGCGCCAAACAGTGGCAATATGAGGAAGAGTCCAAAACTAAATATATATATATATATCAATTACTTTACATGTTGAAAATGGATATCACTGGGCGCTAGTGAACTGAGTTAGTTCCTAAAGAATGCGGATCAACCCACCCAACCCCAAACAGATTTCTGCCACAAGTAACCAGTATGACCACACGGATTTCCCAACAACCACATTCTCATCGTAAGAGTATCGAGGTTCCGGACAACGATGAGGAGGTATGGCTGCCTACATCCTTTCCCCTGAACTGAACTTGCCATCCCAAAAAGAGATCTATACAGTAGCTGACCAGAAATATGACGACTTTTGGGGGGCACCTGTAAATACTATATAGAGTTTTCGGTACCACATGCTTAGGCATCCCTTCAAATGCTGTGACTTTGGTGCCATGAGCGGGCCACTCCTAAATCTTTTGGTGGGCCCTCGTTTTTAATCTGTACAAGCAAGAGCCGAAGGCACCAGTTGCAAAGAGACCTGGAAAAGCAGCTGCATCCTTTTGAACATCCATCCATGGTTGTGGTGGGTCAGACTGGTCTTCCAAAAAGAAGGTAAAGGGACGTAAAGGGTTTGCTGCGGAAAATTGGCTTGAGAGCGGAAGCAATGTGCTTGCTCTGAACAAAGTGAAAAAAACATCCTGGGGCTTTTTATTTGTTAAATCACCATAGACATTTTCTTGGAAGTGAGCTTGGCGACTGGGTGACACAAAATATCTTGGATAGAACATGTACGACTTCCAAAGTTTCAAGCCAATGATCACAAGTAGACAAGTAACCTGAAGGAGCTGTTCCAAACGTCTGTTTGATCTGTTTGCTCCTCGCTTTCGCAAACTGGACTAAACCCTGTCGATGGACGTTAGGACGTTATGGTCGGCACGGTCGTCACGGGCGCTCCAGGAAGGTGGCCGCTTCCGGGGTTCGTCCGCAGAGGTCGGCGGTGGGCCTAGCATGAAAACGGTTCAGCTACAAC